ACATTTTCATTAGAGGAGTTTTGGTTAAGCCTGTTATTAATTGAAATTGGGATTTGTTTTAGAATTTGGGGTGGATGATTTGAGTTAATATTAATATACAATAATTCATTGTTTGGCTTTTTGAATTGGCTATTATTAAATACATCATCTGTGTTTGTATTTGGTTTTAAGAAAAAATGCGCTTTCCAACGAATTCTTTTTATAAATTGCTCAATTATTTCAATCAAAGAAATAGTATAACTTTTTTCATCTAGTATAGGTATATATTTTTCAAGGAGTAAGTGAAATTATTAGTTTCCATATTTACACGGAATGTTAAAATACAATTAAGAGTGCTTAACAAATGTTAATAAGGAGCCTAATATATATTTAAACAATTTAAAATGTATTCTACAAAGAGTGCTCAATGTTCTTAAAAGAACAGAGCAATTACAAATTAGTAGAAAATCACTTAGCTAAATTTTTTCTCATTCAACACTGTGTTTCATCAATAAAGACTCATCAGAAATGAATGATCAAATTAATAAAACTTCAATTTATACCAAAAATTAAATTACAGGAAGTCACATATCTTAACTACTGCAATTTTTCACACATTTGTGTAATTTGCTGACACTATTGTAAAAAGAATTCTTTAGAAATGATTACTTAAGCTTTTTTAAAAAAATAATTTATTTTTTTCAAAGGGGAGTTAATGTAACTATTATTTGAGCTCACTTATTTTTATAGTTTTTTAGAAGAAACTTATTTTCGTGCCTGCATTTAGAAATCAATTCCGATTTATTGTTTAATAAGCATTCTTGGTTTGTATGTGTAATTATTTCAAATTTTTGTTGTAGACATAGTATGCATTTTTTGGAAATATTGTTATATGCAGGCACTGTTTTAAGGATGGACCAATTCAGTGTAAAATCATCAATATTTTTATCTTTTAATTCCCATATATATTTTGACAACATGGTGTCTTTTGAATACTTTTTATTTTTAAAAGATTGCTTATATATATATATATATATATATATATATATATATATATATATATATATATATATATATATATATATATATATATATATATATAAGTAATATTAACTTCTACAATCATTTTTCGAGTAAAAGAAAAGTAAAAGCTGTTCTTAAAAAACAGTGCTTTTAATCAAATTGATTTAAGTTTGAAAAGCAACTTTACATGACTTTACACAGCATCAGCAACTTTAAACTCAACTACAGATTATGTGGTCCCTGAAAACCTTACATTCCTACAAAACTAGTTTATGATCGTCAAGTCCATAAAGAATGGAAAAGGTCTAACCCATTTGGCAGCCAGTATATATAAATAGTTTCAAATACTTTAGTTACAACCAGCATTTCTAGGAAATGAAATATCTTTAACTTTAAAAGTTGCATTACAAAGAGAGTATGACACCCCACTCTCCTGAGAGAGTGGGGTACCATGTGTCATGGTACCCCACTCTTTCAGGAGAGTGGGGTACCATGACACATGGGGCACCATGAAACAAAGCAATTATACAGCGATATAAAAGTATTGTGAAAAATCTTTTTGAGTTGTAATCAGTTACTACTAGATGTACTGCTTAACATATAATTCAAATCAGAACATGTCAATAATATCGCAAGAGGTTCAAATTCGTGTTTTTTCCGTTGGAAAGTAATTTATAACTTTTTGAAGTTGTAGAGTTTTACAGTGTTTTATTCACTGTATTCTTCAGAAAGTGCTTCTATTTTGTAAACTATATTTCATGAGCTCTTCAGTGTGGCAAAGACATTTAATAGAATAATTTTTTGAAAAATAAAAACCAGCCATCTTATTATATCAGAATGTATGGATTACCATGAAACTGTTTTAGTGGGACACCATCAAACTAAAAAAATGTACAGTTTTATAAATTATTATGATGTACTTATATAGTAATAAAATTAATTTTGCCTCATAAATATAAGATACACAAGTTTATATAAACATAAGTTTGCTTTATTATACTAATATTAAGATATTTATGAACACTTTTTTGTTGAAGGACTAACATTCATTTATATTATGTTTTTATACTGATTTCTATTAATGTATAAAATCTATTGATGTAAATTAAAGCTGAGTGTGGTATCAAATCATGATATGACTATGATTTAAATTTTTACACATTGGAAAGTTTGTTATTGCTTTAATATTTTAAGATTAGAATGAGGAGCTATGTAAGATAAACTAGCAAAGTAGTCTTCTAGAGTAATTCAATGGAAGTAGCAGTTGATTTAGTTTTAACAGGAGAGTGTTCATTTAACATTTAACCGGAGGGTGTTCATCAAATGCTGCAGAAAAAATGAACCTTAATCACAGCACCCTTTGCAGGTAATTTATACTCATGTATTCTGCATCAATAAGTATTTGTCCTACTTAGTAAATGAAACTTGTATAAGTTTGTAATTAAAAGCGAATTCTAAATTTTAAATTCTAAAGTTTTTATGCATACAGATATGTTAAAGAAAAAAAAGGAATAAACGAAGGAGAAATCATTACTACGAAACCCAATTTTTCTACAAGAGTGTTTACTGCGCAAGAAAATCTTTTGAAGCAGTGTCACCTGCTCTCAAATGTGTTTTGGACAGTCTGTTGTAAATTTAAGATCTATTGCTTTTGATATAGCTATAATAAATAATATAAAGTTCCCAGTAACTGGATTAAAGAGAAGAAAGGTGGAATAGAATGAATGCACTTGTTTTTAAAGCAGAATTTTTTAAGTATTTTAATGCCAGAAGGATGCTCTTTGTCAATGACATCTTTGAATAATTACAATGTACAAAAGTTTTTTACTAATTAAGAGGCATTGTATTTAAGAGAATCAAAATTTAGTGATGGATTTTGCATTTGGAATCTTGATGAAACAGCTACCACCACTGTACAAATATGTAATAAAATCATTACTAAAAATAGCATCAAGCAATTTAACTCTGTGACAAGTGGAGAATGTGGAACTTTGGTGACAAGTTGTTTTTTTATAAGTGTCTCAGGTGACCTGCAATGATATTGCCATGAAAAAAGTTAAAGCAACATATACTTAATAATACCATCTAGATCTTTTATTTGTACAAGTTCAACATTTTATATTAAAATCATTTCCGTCAAAGAAAAATCCATCTACTTATATTTGTTAATCATGAGAGCCACTTATCTAAAAAAGTTCTTGATCTTGCTAAAAGAAACAGTGTTACTTTTCTTACTATACGACCATATAGAAGTTACAAAGTACAGCCCTTAGATGTTTTTGTATTTGCTCTATTCAAAGTTTATTATAATGACGCAGTAAAATCTTGGCTTCTAAATTATTTCAGAGTACCAATCACTACTTACGTAGAGTAAAAAAGATAGTAAAACTTTTTTCATCGCATATGAAAAAAGATTTACTATCACAAACGTTCCAAGTGGATTTAGGAAAAGTGGAATATTTCCTTATGACAAGAATGTATTTTCAGAAGCAGATTTTTTATGCAGTGTTGCTATTGATAGAAACAATCCAAATACATGTCAAACAAACACTATAGAAACTCTGAATACCAATACCTTGTTACTCTCACCAGAAAAGCTTTAAAAGCTTTTTGTAAGTCACGAGCTAAATATTTTGGCAGTCCCAAGCCAATGATTCTGAAATTATTAACTTTGTGAGCCCTTCTCAGTTTAAAGGATTTCCGAAGGCCACTGAAAGAAAAAATAAAATAAAACCTCGTGAGAAAGCTAACAGTATAATAGCAACATATACACCAACAACTGTACTCCAAGTAAAAGAAAAGAAAAGGAAGATAAAGAAACAACTATCTTAACAGAAAAAATAACAATAAAAATTTTGTTTTCAAAAGTGATTTTTTAAGTGATAAACATGATTCCTTTTCTTAATTTTAAAAATTTATAAATTTTTTGTGTTGTTTTCCTACATTTTATAATTTTTTATTATCCTGCTTTATGGTGCCCCATAGAAAGTATCATGGGTGGGGTACCTAGATACAAAATTCGACTTTTACTCAATAAGTTTTGACATCTTTTATTTTGTTAATTTAAAAATTTAATTTTGGATGTTTATCTACAAATTGCACTAATCGCTAAAGAAAAAAACGTGTTTAAAAAAGTAGTTACGAAAACACAGCGTATTATGATGCCCCACTCTCCCCTAATAAATTCATGTAATTGTTTTACAAACTTTTGTAACTGCTCCAAATTTTATTTTCTTGATCAGGCATGATTCAACAAAAAATCTCACATAAAATACCTTACCTTCTCCACTATATCTACTTTTTCTAAGTTAACTTATTTTAAAGATCTAGCTCCTAAGCTACTTAAATCTTAAGATGTCTACAAAGTTTCTTGCAACAGCTGCAATGCCAGTTATATTCTATAAACTTCCAGACATTTAGCAACTAGGATAAATGAGCACTTTAGCACTGATAAAAAATATAAACATTAAAGTTTATCAATTTGTTCCACAAATCGGTCTAATTGTTATTCTTTGAAGTTTAGGATACTGTTTTTGGACAAGTTTTGGATACTCCAACCAAACATAAATTAAAGGTAAAAAAAGTGCTTTACATTAAAAAGTTAAATCTTTCGCTTAATAAAGACACTTCTCATAATACTATTTATCTATTTAACTTCTTAAAATGATTGGCTATTTACATAGTCACTTCTTAAAATGATTAGTTAGTCATTTTTGTTATCATATTTTTTTTGGTTTATTATGTATATCTTTGTCTGTTAATATTTTTTTGTAAAGTCATTAATTTCAAGTTTTTTTTGCTTTATTTTTTTTATTACACTTTTATTTACAAAACTCATTTATCTTTATCTGTTACTTGTTGCAATTTTTTTTATTTATGTTTTTTTTTCTCCTTTTTTTCATCAGCAGCATCATTGTTCCAGCATTCTTGTTTCCATACTTCCATGGGTAGGACATGTATTATAAGTACACTATAAAACTTAATATGTAGATACTTACTTTTTTCCTCACTCTGGAAAGAAACAAACATTGTTTTGCTCTACATTTCTGCCTCAGTTTACCAGGTCCACCAAATTTTTTCATATCCTAAAATCTCCAAAATAAATATATAATTAAATAAACAATTTATAAAACAAACGATGCAGTAGACTAGTGTTAGAACACTTAGCTCACAACCAAGAGATTTAAAATCCATCTCTCTAGAAATACTACATATAATAAAACTATATCTAACAAGGTTTATGTTTTAAGGTATAATCATCTTTATATAAAGTAAATTTATATAAAAGAGGAAATCGTGACTCACTTAAAAATACAAAAACTACTTGAATAAAAATACTAAACAATAAGTTATATATAAGTTACCGCACAAAAATCACATTGCCCACAATCCATTTCGTTTGTGCATGATGCACATACTCCACATGTTCGGTTCTTTCGCCGCTATCAAAATAAAAGAATGTAAAAATAGCAACAAAAAAAAACTTGTTAACTTTCATTTTGCATACTTCTGTTTTCATTAAACGCGTAATACAATAAAAATAAAAGAAAATATTGAAACAATTTTTAAAATAGCAATAATTAAACCTGACTGATCAAAAACTAAAATGACTTACTAAAGTATCACTATTCTTTCTTTTTCGTTTAAAATCTTTATCCTCTAACTTACTAATATCATCAAATTTCTCATCATAATTTTCTATTTTCTTTTTCTTTTGACTTTCTTTTCTTTCTTCTATTCGTTTATCTTTAAAAACGATTTGCAAACCTTCATAACTATCTTTAAAAATTAAATGAAATGAATTAAATAAAAATATTATTGCAAATATAGAATAACATTTATAATAAATACCAAAATAAGAATACCATTAAAATAAATTGTAATAAGATAAACATAACAATATCAAATAAAAATTGAATTTACTTTTTTTTTAACAGAATAAAGAAGTTTATTATTTCATTAGAAATTTTTTTACTAATCTTATTTGGTCATAAAAATTTGATATAATATTTTTATTGATTTATGCAATATTTATTTTTTTGAATGTTTTTAGTACATTGATTTTTAATAGTTATTTGATTGATTTTTAAAAATTTTTATTTCATACTAAAATAATAGTAGAAAGTTCAAAACCACCCTAAAGATCTGGAAGAACGCATTTAAACCAGTTTATACACAGAGCAGTCTTTTTTAAAAAAGGCTTTTTCAAAGTTTACAGTTGAGAGAATGGTGCAAACAAAGTTTAAAAAAATAAAAAAATAAACATAAGGCATCTGTGACATTTCTTCAAAGTATATAATATATTTTATCCACTCAATCAATTGTAATTGTAAAAAAATTGTAAAGCTATCTATAAAAAAAAAATGCAAAACTAAAACATATTAAATGCTGACAGTTTTAAGCTTAATTTTCCCTTTTTTATTAATATTTTAACATTTTAGGATAGCCATTATGACTATCCTAAAATGTCACATGTTTAAATATTCAATGTTTAACATTAAAAAGAATGCTATTTTTTTAAATCTTAAATTATATTCACTCTGTAGGTCATTGTAAACAGGCTTTACAATGATCAGATTTCGTAACAATAAAGCTTCACTGTAATCTTAACTTAAATAACTTTTTTTAATTAAAATAAAATTAAACTAAATTTTACCATAGATTTAGGGAGAATAAAAATTTTTAAAACCAAATAATGAACAATTTTAGCAGGGCTAATTTTAGATTAAAATTAAAACTTGACTTATTTCATCAGCTAATAAAAAGAAATATTTGTTTCATTTAACAGTTCATAACTATAAACCTTTAATGTAGAACAATCAACTAATGTTACTTGTAATTAAATCGGTGAATGTTAAAAGGGCCGAAGTCCAATTATGTAAACTTTTGGAAATTAAAGAAAAACTTCATTTTTCCCCCATAGAAAAATTTTTGTTAATGGTTTAATATTTTATTTTTGAAGAGGATGTTTTTCACCTTCAAAAAAAAATTATCAAACCATTAACCAAAAATTTATTACAGGAGGAAATGCATTTATTTAAAATTTCCCTAAAGTTTACATTATTTGACTTCCGCCCTTTTAACATTCACCAATTCCATTTAAATTTTCAATTATATAGTGTTATTTCAAGAGCTATTTAATAATTATCACTTAATATTTATTATTTAATACTTAATAATTAACATCTTTTAAATAATATTTACTATTTAATATTTTTCAATTTTCTTTTAATTCTTAACTATAATATTTTACTGGCAATTTAACTTAAGTATTAATACTGAATTAGGAGTTCGTTTTTTTATATAATTGCATAAAATTAGTCTTTGTCAAGCTGGCGATTTAAAATAGGTTTGAATGATTTTTCAAACGCTTATATGGCTTATATCTTATATGGCTTCTTATGATTTTTTTTTGTTGTAGACATATGATATCATACTTTCTAACAACATTTTGGTTTCCATAGTAGTGCAAAGAAACACTAAACAACTTTTTATGGATTAACAAGGAGTAACACAACTCTTTTTTTGGATTATTGAGTAAACACCTGTTAAAAAAAAATTATTCTTGTATTATTTCTTTCATAAATTAAGTTCTTTGACACGAAACATACTTTAAAAACTAAGAATACAAATGAAATGTTGTTAATAGCAATAAGCAAATGCTTTTATTTTATTGCCATTTATAAAGTTTTTTTCCAGATGCTAACCAAATAAGGGTTGCAAGCTTGTATGGCAAACTCCAGATGTGATTTACGCAGTATAACGTTACTCCGAATATCAGTGTCTTGATACAAACATTTAAGAATTCTGACTTTTATTTGCTTTGTTTGCTGCAATGTTGCATGCAATGTTGCATGGCTGAGCATATTTAAGATTCTCAGAGATTAGAATTCCAAAATCTCTTTCAGAAATTGTGACTTCTAAAACTTTGATTTTGTCCATAAAGTAATCAAATTTTATTTTCAAGAGTTGAGATACATAAACGTTTTTCATTTTTTATCATTAGCAAGGTTTGCCTCCATTTGATAATCTCATCAAGAATGAATTGTAAACTTGCTATGTTTTCATCATTTTTGATAACTTTTATGTTTTCAGCTTTTCCAACAGTCTAACATGCATAACTTTATTGAATTTTTTTCAATTCAAAAAAGAAACCAGTTGACTTTCGACTTTCGAAACCAGTCGACTTTCTTTTGAAATTCAAGAAAAATTAAGTCGACTGGTTTCTTTTTTGATTTGCTATGAGTCAAATAGATTTGTGACCCAAGTCTTTTTTGAAATTAAAACCACGTTAAATTTTGAAAAGCAATTTGTTATTTACCAAATGATCAAATATGACTATAATTATTGTATTAAATAACATATATAATTATATTGGTCTAAAGTAACATATATAATTATATTGGTCTAACTATTTTTTCCAATGATGGTCTGTTTTGGCTGAATTAGCTGAATTGGCTTCTGGCTTTGGCAAATTGGCTGGATCTGTTCATTTTGAGTTTGCATTTTTATACCAGACCTTTTTTCCATTATAATGAGCTTCATTAAGTTGTCTGTAATGCAAGGTTTCTATTTTTTTTTTTATTGGCAGTTGATTGGATGCCTCTGGAATAAACTTATGGCACGCTTTATTGTAGAGGTTAAATCATATAATAACATTCTTGAACATTGCAATCTATGAATCTAGCTTGCCAATTATTTATCTTGATTATAAAGAAACTTTTTGCGGTTAAAACTATTTTGATTACTACAGTCTAAATTATGTCAACTAAGAGATATATGTCATTGTTTAAAGACAAGATCCTGTCAAAACTTTGTTGATTTTATCTTTTAATTCTGATATAACTAGATCAGGTTTGTTATTAAAATTCTATCAGTTTTTTTTTAATTTTGACATTTAACATGCTGGTAGAGGTAGTTGTTACAGAGAATGGTATAGAAATACGTATAGGATATAAATAGCATATAAGAAGACAGAAAAACTATATATGAACATGTGTGCTAAATAATAAGACACTGTTTAAATTAACTAAACCACTTCAAGTACATTTTACTTATATAATTTAAGTAAAATGTATATATTATATTTTATAATTTTTAGTTATTTCTTTTAGTATGTAGGAATTAATTGAAGGTTAAAATCAGGTTTGAATTACTATTTTTTTTTTACTACAAGCTGTGATTTTGTTTAAAATTGCACCTAAATTAGCTTAATTAAAAAACTTAATGTTGTCCTTATTAGGATACCTTATTTATTAGAACAATATTTTGCCAATAAAAAACTGAAATTAAAACTTAAAACTTAAATTCTAAACTTTTTTGAATTTTAGATCATTATTTCAAAGTCTTTTAAAATTGAAACTAAAATTGAATTTGAAAAAAAATTAAATAAAAACTAAAACATAAATTTTATTTTTTAGTTCTTCGTAAATGTAATTTGAAAAACTAAATAAAAATATTTACCGAGACACTGTTGACAGTACCACTCTTCAATCTTTCTTGCAGCTCTTTTGTTTTCAATATTTACACAATCTCCGTGAAACCATTCCATACATTTATCACATGCACTATTATTTAAGTCAAAACTTGAAACTGATTAAAAGTTAAAAACAAAATAAAAACTTTACTACAAAAACAAATTTGTTTTGCATACATCATAAACCTGTCTATGTCTGAACTTCGACATATGCAAAACAGTTTAGTGTCTTTCTCATTTTCAGCTTTAACAACATCATTTTCTTTTTCAATATCTTGCTCTTCTTCAATATGATTGTTTGATTCCACTTCTTGTGAAAATTCATCACAATTCATATTTTAATTGGCTATTAACCCAAATGACACCAGAATTAAAATCTTATTATAAAAGCTCATTATCTAAAAGAGCCAGATGACAGATATGTTATCTAAACACGCATTTATACATACATATATACTTGTATATAAACAACATAAGACAATATTGTTTCATTCTTTAGAAATCATCAGTAATGTATATATA